GCTTGGGCATGAGATGAGAGGTGTGCTTGAAAATGACTAGGCATTTTCATTTCATTAAAGACTATGTGGTATAGTAGGAGGGCACCTCTAGATTGATAGATTGGGCTGCTTTTTTGGGTTAGTAGAGGTCTCTTCATGCTGCTTAGTCTCACTTTTTAGAGTGAAGCCAGCTTGTCACTTATGTTGTGTGCATGGCTTTGGCTTTATCACAATAATAATAATCAAATTATTCTTGACATGTTCCTATCAGTTTCTTCATTTTTCGATAATTTCTTTTGTTTGCCCCTATGGTTAAAGTAGTGTATGGATCATGAATATGTTGAAAGAAAAAATAAAAATTAATGAAATTATTTATACATATTCATTTTTATCCTTACTTATTTTACCTTCAAGTGTAATTTATCCTATTCACTTTTACATATTTGTTATGATGGACAAACGAAAACGAGAAAGTAAAGCAAAGTAATGAATATGAAAATATACGTGGTTCAACTATAAGACTATGTTTATTGGCGAAGAACGACAGAGGGTTTCATTATCAATGAAAGAGGTACAATAAGTAGTTGCCTCTCTCAAAACCGTTTGTAATAAGAGTTTACTCTTAATCTCATAACTCTAATTCTCGAAATAATATATGCTAAGATTTGAATACAAAAAGAATCAGGTTAAACCTAGTTGGGAGCATGTTGGTTGCTAGCAAGTTATAAGAACAAATTGGGTAGGATACGAGACACTCACAACAATATTTCTTTTTCTTATATAAATAACTCTATATAAAAAAAAAGGACGATTTTTTTGACATTCATTCATTTTAATCTCATTTTCCCCTAACCTTACCCAAAAATGATTTTTTTTTTTTTTTTTTTTAAATTCTTTCAATTTAGTTTCTTTTTCTTTATTTTCTCTCTACAAATTCACGATTCAAAAGTTTATAAACTGCGCAATTTTTATTTTGTCAAACGCATTTTGAAATCTTCGATGCCAAATCACTTGTACAATGCCACATGATCCCTAGTCACAAGCCTTCAAGATTCATATTGTGTTTTCAATTCAATAGTTTGTAGAGTCATAAAGCAATTGATCATAATAATCTTTTTCAACCCTTTGATTTTTCTCATAATTTACTAGTCTTTCTTTCTTTTCAGATGCAAGAGAAGGTGAGCTTGAGATGACCCAACAAAGTCCAAAAGGCAAAAACACTTATGACAGGGAAAACAAAAGTGGGATAGGAAGAAATATTTCACATGGTCTCTCTCTCTCTCTCTATGTGGTGCTCTCTAACTCTTAAGGCAATTGTTCTTAGCATTTGCAAGCACATTGTACAGAGGAAATCAAGTCCCTTCAAATGTCAATAATTTAAAGCTAACGCCAATGATCACATTATATGTATATGTACATTTGAGGACCTCCCCACTTGCACAACCACTACACTCTCAACTCCATTCCTCTAGGGGAGGTCAACGGGGTATTTTTGTGAGCCCTCACATGACATTATTAAATTTGGCAAGAAGCTGAATTCTCTGTTAAGGATATTAAATATCTATTTGTTTTACGATACCTTCTAATCACACGATGAATTTCTCTATTTAATTGTGTGTAGTAGTGGTGAGGAGCATTAAAATAGGAGGATAAGCAAGATCTAGACATAAAATTCCCCTTTTGTATTGAATCCACCTCGGGATATCTTTATATTACATAATGAATATCTTTGATTTGATTGTATCGTTGAGAGGAGCAACAGAATTGGAAAATAAAGAAAGACTTTAACAGAGAATTCTATATCGTATTGAGATTGGACCATTTGTTTAGAATTTTTCACATACTTCCGTTAATGTGGCATGTTTTTACTTAGTGATGAGTCTATTTGTGCAAGTGATGAGTCTATTTGTGTAATGAAAAGAAAACCTTTAGATAGGAGACATGAGAGATCTAAATAGAGAATCTTTCCTTGTCTACCATTAAGGTAGCTTTGAGTTGAGGCACACATTGAACCAATGGTTGAGACAGAAAGGGCCCAAACTTCCTGAAAATTTCTCTTAAATTTCATAGATTTTTTTTTTTTTTTTTTTTTTTTTAAAGAAATTTTTTTTTAATAGTGAATGAGTAATACAATTATTTTGGCTCTCTAAAGTCTAAGAAAGTTTACGTGGCCCTTTCAATTTTTTAAGAATTTTACTTAGGTCTGATGGTCTTTTTTTTTTTTTTTTGAAGCTACTCTAACCTACATTTATGGAGAAAGAAAATGAAAATCATCCCTCAACGCTCGACATAAGACTTAAATTCACAACCTAAGTATGAAGGTTGGAGAACATATACTGTTGTGACCCAAAGTCATGGAAATTTTAAAATTTCACTTAGCCCTATAATTTTCATTTTCAGACCACTAAATTTTTGAAAATTTCACTTAGCCCTATATTTTTTTTCAAGTACATATCATATATATTATACAAAATAATATTTTGATCTCAAGGTTAAAGAAATTTTAAGCTATCTCCTAAACACAATCTCTAAGTATGCCACCAGTGAAATTTAATTATTTAACCAACCTATATTCTTTTGTTTGATAGTGTTTGAGCTCATGATAACATGAGAATTATTGTGAAGCATATGTCATGTCAGTGTTCAAATTTCATTGACACTAAGATTCAAATGAACAACCAAAGGGTTGTTTATGAGATGATCCACAAGCATTATGTGAATTTTATTTTATCGTAAATTTTTTCTATCAATATTTCAGTTAGAAAGTTTGTGAAATCAAAAAATTCTTAATAAATTTATCATAAATTGTTATTACAAGACCACTTCTTAAATTAATCTTAACCTTAAATTTGAAATTTTGAATAATTTTTTAAATTTTTTCTCTCAATTTATTACATTATTGTATTTCAATCTCTTTCTTTATATTTTCAAAAATAAGTTAAAAGTTAATTTTTAAATTTTTTAACTTTTTAAAAAAAATACAAAAATAATAAAAAAAATCATGTAACATAAAAATATTAAAAAATTAACTTTTTAACCAGTTAAAAAAACCCTTATATGCGCACACACCTCTCTCCTACCACTACCCTTTATTTGTTAGTCTCATAGGCATTCATTTTCTTATTGATTACTACTATTTTACTTGACAGTGATGCAATGACTTGTGATTTCTATGGACCACAACTTTTTCTCCACATGTTTATAGCAATTATATCTATATTTATAGGTTTATAGGTTTAGTACACACAAATGTAGACAGAACCCTTGCATAGTCTTAAACAACAGAATTACTTCTGTTTTATCCCTTCATTTTATGCACAAACTTGAATGTTGATGGCAATGAGGGTAACAAATAAGTACTCTTCACCCATCACCAGTACATAATCATTATTATAAGTTATAATCATGGCCATCATCATAGAAAATCATGAACTTATTTGATGAAGGTTTAATGAAAACAATTCATTTCTTTTTAGTAAAGATTAAAAATATCATTTTTCTTACCAAGTAAAGAAAGGAGAAATTACACACTGGTGGGAGAAGTTTTTTTTTTATCAACACATAAAGAGATGCAAGATGCAAGTGACACTTACACCTTTATAATTTTTTATTTGCACCTCACCATAAAACATTCGCACCCTTCATGTATTGTATTAGTAATTTTTTTCTTCTTCTTTTACCTGCATGTAATTCTCCCAAAAAATTAATTTTTTTTTTTTTTGTTGAAATGATATGAAATGATGAATGAGTTCAATCTCCTCATTGTTTTTGTTTTCAAAATTATGAAAAACAAAACAAAACTTATTTTTTTAATTAATTAGTAAAAGATATGAATATCAAGATTATGTCAAATTGGATAATCAGTCATTTAAAAAAATTTAACAATACATACTCAAAAGTCTAACACCAACAAGCACTATATAATACAAGAAAGGCCCCCATAACAATTCAAGAAATTCACTATAATAGAAAGAGAAATAACCTATTATTGTTAGTCAATGATTGATCTCTTGACTAGGGATAGCAATGGATAACCTACCCTGTGGGTATCTATGGAGACCCAACCCAAATACATGGGGGATTAAAGTGGGTTGGGGAAAATCCATACCCATTAAAAAATGGGGAGGGTGGTACCCATGGGGAATGGGGAATGAGGAATGGGGAAAATTTATTATAGGGGAATGGGGATGGGGAATTAATATCCACCCCATTGCCCCCCATTGCCATTCCTACTCTTGACCTCTCAAGTGTATAGAAGTGATCAATTAAAGTAGTTCAGTTAATTAACTTAGAGCTAAATAGGATCAATTTTATTCATTTTCTTTAAAGGTAGATGAATAAAAATTAAACTCACCTATCGCATGCCAAAAAATGAAAGAGAAAAATAATGGGAATTTGTTTCATTTTCAATATTTTTGTAATTAATTCCAAAATGTTACAAAAAAAATAAAAAAAATACAAAAGAGATGAACCAAGACATGTTGGCTACATGGATGGAGAGAGGGACTGGATTAGTACAACTTGGTCTGTGCCATGCCATGCCATGCCATGCCATGCCATGCCATGCCATCTGTCTTTTCATGTTAAAAAAAAAAAAATCAAAAAAAAAAAAAAAAAGTCCACCCACTCACCCTCAGAGACACACCATCTCCTATTTATTGTGATGATGATAATGATGATGAATGAGGGAGGCCCTTCCCTCTTCCCCCATGGAAAAATCTTCAGGCAGAATCCCAACAGTAGACCATTATGCATATTAGATTCCTCATGGCAACCAACCATATTCCCCCATTTGGGCCTTGTCTGACATTAGCCCTATCTTTTGTGGGCCCTTAGCCCCATCCCCTTCTCTCTCCATAAGTCTTCTCTATCCTTCAACCTCCCCCATTATTTGATTTTGTTGTTCCTCTTACCTTACCCCCCTTTGCTTTGCTTGATGATGATGATATTCTCCCACATTTTCTAGTGAGAGAAAGTTGCCTGAAAATCAGGGATTTTCTCAGTTTCTTTCTTTCTTTTTAAATTTTTTTTTTAATTTTTTTTTTTGTTGTTGTGGACATTCCAAGTTCTTGTAAATTAGTCAATTCCTGGAAGTCACATCCTCAGATCTTTATCCTTGGCGATAATAATTGATATCCTGTGACATACAATAATAATACAGAGTGAGAGTTAGTACATGATTGTCCCTTATTGAATTGAGTACCAACCATGAAAAGGTGTTAAGAAGCATGCATACAATAATAATACAAAGCCCCCAATATCATGACAATCCATCTCATGGATCATAAAATTACTTGGTGATTGCTTTAAAAACTTCACTTTCTTAATTTTTTGTTTTTATTTTAAATGATAAAAAATACAATTACATATTTGACATACAAAGTATGAGAGAGTCGTTAAGTGACAGGATATGTCAATCAGATAAGAATTTAAAAAGTTTAGTTGCATCTTATTCTTATCTCAATTAGATAAGTCTATTTTATTTTATTTTTTTATAATTGAAAATACAATTATATACTTAACCTACTTCTAAAAGTATGGCAAAATAGCAAGTGGAAATGAAACAGATAGAACTTAAGAAGCTTTTCACACCCTAATCTCATCTCACACCCTATTCTCATCTCTAATGAGATTTTAACCCCTAATCTCACCTGAGAGAGAGAGAGAGGGTTAAGATAATGCCTTGGACTAGAAACCCTTGACAACTGTACTTGTAATTGAATAACTAGATACAACTTGGTTAAATTCAACCTCAAAAACCATGTGAACATCAACTAGAACTTAGATTGGTTTGGTTCAATGTTGAGTCACTATCTAACATGACCTAATTAACTGAAAATCAAATCCATTTCACTTTCAGAAAAAGGGAATAATAATAAAAAAAAAAAAACTATTTGTGCCTTAGTGTTTCAGGTCATATAATGACTCATTCACTTGAAATGAAATTGATATAAGCATAAAATTATTAATTTCTAGTGAAAATTACATTCATAGTCCCTCTAATTTGCCTTATGTGTCAATTTTGTTATTACATTTCTAATTGCATTGATTTTATCTTTAAATTTTTTCACATTGTGTCAATTTAGTCTAATTAACAACACTCCTATAAAAATTAAACTGAAATCAAAAGGCAAAATATTTATTCATTTTCCTCAAAGTGATTGAATTCTCTATTGAATGGATCTTTTACCTTTGATTTCTATTTAATTTTTAACAAATGTCACAAATTAAATTAAATTGACACAATATGAAAAATTAAAATACAAAACGGATCCATTTAAGACTATAAACACCACATGTATGTAGGCAATGCATTGGTGTCATTGAATGCTGCTTCACAGGATGGAGGTACCATCCAAAATGTGACTAGCAAGCCAAACTAAACCAAATCACACTCCAGTGGAATTGGTTGGCTTCTAACTGTACTTTTTTTGGGTAATAAAAGGAGGGAGGGGGAAGCAAAGGTCTATTAATTTATTGACTTTTGTTATTGAAAGGGAATGCAAATGCTAGTAGGGTTGGACCACTAACCATGCCCAATAAAAGTCATCTCAACATGGGTTGTATCTGATGATGACCCACAGTATTGAAGATAGGCCCACTGTATAGCAATCATATACCCCTTCTTTTTTATTTTTTATTTTTTCAGGGTGTGTCCTGAATTGCATTTTCCACACCGTTGTGAAATGTTCTCTAGTGGGGCTGGTGGAAATGTAACACAACATATCACAACTCATGTAACTCCCAGAATTTTGGCTTAGTTGGAGGAGAAGCCAATCAAAGGGTATACCATCTAAAAGGTCGTAGGAGGGAAAAACAACCAAAGAATTTATTACCTAAGAAGTCGCAGGTTCGAATCTCACAAAGGCTAAACATTTCAAATGTTGGAATGGAACGACTGGAGGTTTGTCCAGTTCTTGAGATTAGTCAAGGTGCACATACTGATCCGGATATCCAATTATCAAAAAAACACACATGGTTACCCTAATACCATGATTCATATGAATATATCTATACTATCAATTTATAAAAATACACAACTCATACAATTTTGATTTTTAAAATATCCACAACAATCGAAATATTTATGTAGCCTATATCAGTTATTATAAGGCCAAAAAAAATACAATTACTAAACTAATAACTGCTATCCACTACACTCAACTCTCGCGTACATATATATATATATATATATATATCGAAAATGATATACAAACATATGTATGTACTACATATTATATATGGAAATGGAATGGACAATAAGTAAATCCCAAAAATGTCAAAATCTATCTTTCAGTAGTTGTAGTTGCATATGTTCAGTGCTTCCATAAAAGGATCTTTACTTGTTGAACTACACTTCAAGTTGGAAAATAATATGTACCCATAAATTTTTTTTTTTTAAAAAGTATTTATCATTACTACTTCATATCAAGGGTAGAGGAGGTCTTCTCTTCTATGATTGTGATTAATTAACCCACTTGTCATTGTGAATAAATTAATCAACTTGTTAGGCAAATGGGGCCTACTAGACTTGTCAAACCAAAACTATTATTATATTATTACATACCCAAGCAAACTAAGACCTGTATTGTATATCTGTCCGAGGAAGCAACAAAATCATTGTGGAAAATTGGACACATCTATCTATCTATCTATAGCGATCTCTTCATCACTCTACTTTATGGTCTTAAATTAAAAAGTTATAAAATATGTAGAGAGAGCTTACCATGCTGTCACTTTGATGGTGGTTTGAAGCATGAGGATTATTAATGGTGCAATATTGGCAGTGGGCTTGACCCTGGCTCGACATGGATGAACCATCTGGGGTGGATGGCTCGGACCCATCTGTCTGGCACTCCAGGTTCACCCCAAACAGCCTCAGTCTCTTGGAGTTCCCACTACTAGGTGTTGTTTGGTTCTGCACAACTGTCCCTGCAATAATTCAACACGTGCATGTATTTGCCTCAGTTTCTTCCCCTAACAAACTCCTCAAAATTTTTGATCTCCAAACAACATATATATCAATCAAGTCTAGGAATAGATAAACAAAATACAGAATCAAATACAAAAGCCAAATGAATAGATACATTTTTTTTGAGAAGTGAGCCCAATTAACAAATCTTATCCATTTGTGTTTATATATATATATATATATATATATCTGATTCTATATTTAATTTCCCTATTTTTAGCATAATATATATATATATATATAGAGAGAGAGAGAGAGAGAGAGAGAGAGACAGAATTGTAGAACAATGCTTACTTCCAGCTAACCATTTAACTACAAGCCTCCAAAAACTTTGGTCTTGTCTTGTGTAATGTGACAAATGTTTATATCACAGATCAGACAGTATTAGCTGGAGGTAGCAAAAATACATCTGGAAAGCTTGCTTGTTTCTATTTTTTAAAAAACATTTTTCAAAAAATTTTACTTTCTTATTTTTTGTATTTTTTTGTTTTTACTGAATTTTTAAAATATTTTTGACAATTTTTTTATTTTTTAGACAACTTAACATAAATACACCTAAAAAGTAAAAAAATTATAAAAAAAATCTTTTAAAAATTCACTAAATACCAAAAATACAAGAATTTAGTACATTTTTTATATTTTTATGTATTTATTAATTTTTTAAAATATTTTTTCACAATTATTTTACTTTTTAGATACATCTAAGTAAGTAAGGTGTATCTAAAAAAGTAAAAAAAATGTTTAAAATTTTTAAAATATTCCCTAAAAATAAAAATACACGAAAACTAAAAAACTCAGATTTCAAAAAACTTAATTTAAAAAATTCAAACCAAACAGACTGAATTATTTTCTTCACTGGCATTGCAAAAATATTTATAGAGTAATAATATATTAATATTTATTTTTTTATTTTTTATTATTTAGAAAACGATGTTGAAGATTTATATCTATTCCATTCAAATTATTAAAAAAAAAAGACCCATTAAAATAACTTACTATTTTAGTGAAATTTTGATGTATAGAATTTGTATTTACAAATAAATCATTTCTAAATACATTTTTTTTCCCCCCTGATATAAAAGCTTAGCTCCCAAGTAATTGGAAAGTGTTTCTAAAATAAAAGTATTAAATAATTTCAAAATATCATTTGACATTGTTGTTCAAATTGCAAAACATTTTTGTCACTCAATTACTAAACAAATTTAAGTCAATATTGTCTCACTGAAAATTTATTTTATAAAAAATCAAATAAAAAAATAATTTGAAATTAGGGAAATTGATTTCTTAGGCACTTTGACAGTTGTATAATATATGTATAGAATTGGAAAAAACAAAATTAAGATAGGGTTTGAATGGAATGTAGTGTGAGTGTATAGCAAGGAAAATGAAAATGATATATATACCTGCACGAAGACAGTCGGGTTGGTATGGTATAGGAATAGCAATAGGGATAGGGATAGCATGAGGCCCATTATTACTAGGAGGGTGCGAAGGATAAGAATGCGCAGAATAGAACACCCTGGTCCACCCCCCACCTCTTCCACCGCCAGCACTACCCACCACCGCACCCGGCGGCGCCACCGCTCCGTCGATGGAGCGCCGCCTCCAGCCAATAAAAAGGCGGTCGGCGTCGACGGGGTGGCGCTCGAACAAAACGACGTCGCCGGCGTCGAGCCGCTTCTCTTTGACGAATCTGCTCCAGCCTTTAGTCAAGACGTAGCTCTGGCTACTGTTCCAGTACGAGTACCGAAACCTCCACAACTTCCCTGACTCGTCCTCGAAACTCAGCAACAAACCCTTCTCGCTTCCGCCGCCGCCGAGGGGGAAGTATTTCTCGGCGTGTTGTTTCGGAATGACGAGTCGGTTTAGCTTTCCGACATCGCTCGGAGTCAGAGGCTTTTCGAACATGGGTTCTTTGACTATTTCTTCGAATTGTTCATCTTCTGGGTTTTCTCTCTCTTCTCCGACGGCTAATTCCTCGTCGTCTTCTTGGTTGTTCAGGTTGACATTGAAGCCCGCCGTGGCTGCGGCGGCGCTGTGGTGGTGGGAAGAAGGGGTTTTGGGAGGGGGTTCCATGAAGGGTGGTTGTTGTTGTTGGTGGTGGTGGTGGTGGTTTTTTGTCCACCAGAATGGTCCTGGAATGTCTGGAGAGCAGTGATTCATGAGCTTTTTAGAGAGAGGAGAGAGACTGATGGGTCGGTGTTTTGATGTGGAAACTGTTGTGTTGTGGGAAAAAGAATAGAGAGAGAGGCGTGATGATTATGGCTTTGATGTGGAAACTGTAGGAACTATTTGATGCAGCTACCAAAGAAGTGACAATGAGAGAGAGAGAGAGAGAGATATAGATGTAAGTACGAGAGTACTTTTAAGGTTTTGCGTGATGAAAAAAAATTCAATCATAATTTTCAGTGTAATTTACAGTATTTGTCTCTTTTTATTCTTTATTTTGTTTTGGGTGAGAAATGAAGACGATAAATATTTACCAGTTTTTCACTTTTAGGTAAATTTACACAACAAACGTAACACACCATATCTAGAAAAATATGTCACTCAACAATATTTTCCAACAGTGTGAAATTTTATTTTATTATCACTATTTCATGTTACTTAAATAATTAGTCATTTATTTCGAAATAATTAAAAAATCTTGTCATGTAATTCAATAATATAAAAAAAATAAAAATAAAACTGATATATAACAATCATCTTATTTTTTTATCATTTTAAATTTTTATATGAATGCCAAGTTAAAAATGAAACTAGTAAAAAGGATTAATATCTGTATGTTTTTCTTATCTGTCTACACAGATTCACACAACAAAGAAGTTGTATTTATTAGTACGATAATTATTTCATCTCGTGTGTATATATCTATTTGTACAATAAATATTTTATACCACATGTAAATGGTAAAAAAATTTAGTGAAATATTCTAGTAATCTATAACAATCAAAATCTAAAAAAAAATTTACTATGTGAATTCAAGTAAAAAAGTATTAGAAAGAATCAATAAAATTCATCTAGATTTTATTGAGGGTTTCACGCTTATGTTGACTACAGCATAATAAATGTTTTATACCACATGCAAATGGTAAAACAAAAAAGTGAAATATTCTAGTAATATATAATAATCCTAATCCGAAAAAAAAAATAAAAAATACTCTGTAAATTCAGATAAAAAAAGTATTAGAAAAAACCATAAAATTCATCTAAATTAATTTTATGTGGGGAGGGGGATTTGACTTTTATGTTGACTACACAATAACCGTTATGCATACTTGTAAGGTTCATTGTATCTTAAAAAAAGTAATGAGACTCACAAATTTTTTCTTTTGAATGCTTTAAATTCTTAATGTAAACATGATAATTGCTAAGTGAATACACAATATATTTCTACTAACAAAAATCCTTTTCCCAAATAATAATTACTGCATTTGGCACAACATATATATAATTTTCACATTTATATTTATTTTAATATTTTAAATTACAATTATTATTTATTTTTAAGATACAAATGTGAATGGATGAATGAGTAAATAATATCTGATTAACTTAATTTTTTTACAGACATGTTCTACTTGATATATTCTAAAATATGAACGGTTTGAATTATCAAAATAAATTTCAAAATAGATCCATTTTACCGCACAATAATTACTACTGCGCGAGCTGCACAACAACATCCCCAATTCCATCATGTGAATCTTTGAGAGTGTTAGAAAAAACAAGCCATGTTACTATGTTGGTCAAAAAAAAAAAAAAATCCATGAGGTGGGCCATCATGAAACCTAGACCATCCAACGGCTGACACTGCACTTGTTCCCAAATAATTCCACTGATGGTGCACATGGGATTATAACCTAATTGTAACTTGTGCACCTACATCTCAAATTTACAAGCAGCAAAGCTGAAGCTGTTTGGTTGTGCATTTAAAAAATAAAAAATAAAAATAATGAATTTTTTTTAAACACCCACAATTTCTATACAGTTTTTATTATTGTGTGAAATTAAAATTTGAAAATTATATTTTTTATATTTCTTAAAAGAAGTTTTAAAAAAATTCAGCTAACAATTTTCGAAAAGATTTTGTTAAACAAATTTTTTGTATTTTGTAAAAAATGAAAATAAAAATATACTTATAGTAAACAAGAGGTCTGGGTTTCGAAAAATAATGAAATATTCATAATTTTCATATCGTTTTCATTTTTCTAAAAATAAAAATAATATTCATAATTCTAAAAAATGATTTTTTAAAAATTTTCTAAAAAGAGGGTTGTTTTAAAAAAAATCATATAAATTTTTTAAAAAATAGTTTGTGAAATAAATTTTCTATATTAAAAAAGAAAAAAAAAAAGAGCAGATGATGTGGAGAAAAAAAAAATGGTTAGTGAAGTTCAGGTGAAAACGGGTAGTAATTTGATGTCACGTGCATGACATAGAGCATTATTGGTGTTTGGCCATTCCTAATTTATTATTTATTATTATATATTATTTAATAATAATATATAAGTTATAAGAGAGCAAACAAACGATTGGGTGTTCTGGAAAACAAAAAATCCAGAGATACCTTCCCTTTCCAATAAGTATATAGAGAGACCTTCAGATGATGATAATGAGATAAGATCTCTCTCTCTCTCTCTCTCTCTCTCTCTTGAGATGATGATAATGAGATAAGATCTCTCTCTCTCTCTCTCTCTCTCTCTCTTGCTTTGTTGTTTCAATCCTCTCCTCTAATCACTCTCATCACTTGGACCTCACTGGAGTCTCTATCTCATTTTTTATATTCTATTCCATATATATATATATATATATGTGTGTGTAACTCTGAGTGTTTGTTATAAGTTTCGGACAAAACCCACCTCAATTTCCAGGTGTATTTGGACACACTTTTCTTCCCTACAAAAAGTTGGACCAGCTGTTATAGATGTTGAAAACTCATATATATATATATATATATATGTCTAATACAAACAACATGTTTGTGTCATCTTAGTCATTACCGTCACCACCACTACACTTGTGTTTGGATTTTTATATGGAAAATGAAAAATGTTGACACCTTATGCTCAAAGAAAATTATCTCAAATTTAGATATATGGCCATTGTTTATCTATGAATTTTTCAAAATTGAATTTGAAAATTTTATTACAAGGGATTTGAAATAACGATTTAATAGTAGTTACTTCAATAAAAATTATTATGTGATGTGTCCGTATAATACTTCGGTAAATGAGAAATTGTGGTGTATCCTAAGATCGGTGTTAGTTTTTTGGTTAAAATAATTAAAAAATTAAAACACTTAAGCATATTACTTTCTAATTTTTTTTATCATCTTTTCATAAAAAATTAAAAAATTAATTAAAATAATTACTTCCTAAACACCCTTTAAGTATGCCATTTTTCAATTACATCCGGTTCTACTCATAAAATTTCCTGCTACTATATTGATTTTACAAAACTATATAAACAATACCTCTTGATGTTGAGAAAGTACCCAATAACTACCCTTGTTTGAAATCGTTGATGATTAGAGTTTTAATCTAACTCACAAAGCTTCTCTTTTATGTTTTATTTATCTCCTCCTTTGGTTTAGAGTCTCTTGACACCCACCTAGTTTTCCAAAGTGCAACCATTTAAGTATGAAGTTCTAAATTCCAAGTTAATTACAAATAAGTTTTGTCAAGTGAGACTAATCATAAAAAACAAGATTAATTAGACCACATGCCCCATTTGGTGCAGGTTTTTTGAACTTGAAAGTCGATTAATTAAAAATTAAAATTGTCCTTCCTGACCTTTTGATGATTATTTTTTTTTTTACTTATTTAAATTAGTTTGTAGAATATCAAACGGAATTCAACATACTCTAATAACCTAACTCTCAAAGTTTGGCCTACTGGTTAAGGACTGGAGTCTGGGAATCCAAATTTGAAATCTTCTAAATATAATTATTTTTTGGAATCAGTCTATACGAGTCTTTATCCCAACTTTAATTGGACCTTTATTGGTGTATAGTGGGATTGATCCCCAGATAATTAGTCCTTATGACCGGGTATCGAGTTATATATACATATAAAACTCTAATAAACTACATTAAAATGGGATTTAAGTAAGTTTGAATGATCAAAGATAAAATTGTAAAGTAGAATATTCATAAAATCAAGATGTTGTTTTGTTGTGAACATTTTCTCATTGACCATCAATAGGACAAAACATATAGGTTACGTGAGGAATCCACCATGTAATTTGCGGAGGGGTTTCTTTAATATTATAAATTAAAACACTAAGTGGAAGAAGACAACTACAAGAGATATTTGAGGAGAGTGATGACTTAATATGAGTGGGTCATATTGTAAATGAATTTTTAAGAAAAAAAAATTAAATTAAATATTTTTCATATCTGAGAGTTTCTCAATTCCCAAGTGTAACCCACCTGGTTTCTATGACCAATCTAGCTGTGCGAGTGTGACCCTGAAGTTGATATTTATTTCACAATTGAGTAATAATATATAAATAAAAAATATAAAAAAAAATTATGCTTAAAATGATGTGATTGTATTGAGATTGATCATTTTAAAAGAAAATGTACAATTAAAATTCTCGAAATATCATATCATTGTAATGAAAAATTATATAATTTTTTTTATTAATAAAAATAGTATTTCCTGTTACAAAGCATGCATAATTACATCTACATATCACTGGCTATTTTTTTTTATACTAATTATGCCAACAAAAAAAAGTCCACTTGTTTTTGACTAAAAAAATCAAATTATCAAAAAATAAATAAAAAATAAAAAAATACTAAGAACCCACTCAACTTTCTCACTAACCCAAAAAAAAAAAAAAAAAAAAAAACTATTTTAGCATTTGCTAAATGTATTAGCTTTCTAAAAAAAAAAATGCATTAACGACACATTATATGATATTTAATTTTAGATTTTTTAGCATTATTACTATATAATAAAGAATAATGGTATAAACAGTAATTAGTGTACCAATTAACACACTCTTGCACCTCGCTAGGAAGTCAGTAGTTCGAATCTCCTCACTTATGCGTAGGTCTTATTTTCCATGTATTAATTAAGAAATTCTATCCCATTTTGGGAGTTTTTTTTTTTTGTAAAGTTTGTATTTAACATTCATTACCAAGATGTAATTTATTGGGTTTTATTGTAATATTTTATATAAATCAAATCTAAAAAAAAGAAAAAGCACACCAACTAGCTACAATATTAGGTAAGGCCATGTTAAGCCGCGGTACCCATACGTATGTCTTGTGTCCCGGTAAGTGTGTTAGTTAGTACAATAATTAGAATTTTTAGCACTACTCTCTATTAAATAAATAAAAATTTGTAGAAATAGTGCATAGAATGTGAA